ATATATATATATATATATTACAAGTTAGATAGCACGAATTGATATTATTTATTTCACTGTTTGGCACGTATTTCTGAATTGAGCAGAGAACACGGCTGCGCAATCTTTATCTGTTTTCCCTTTCGTTTCTCTGCGTAAAAGCCTTCGGGTGTATAGCAAGTCACATTAAAAAGCCGATTGACTTAAGATTGAAATTTTTATCTAGAATTCTTCTGCCGTTTTCAGACGATTGTATTTCACGGTACATTACACCATTCGGAAACTCCGAAAAACGCTATGAATTCGAATTTAAACGACGACCGACATATCTTAGACACCCCGTCCGTTTGCATTCCAGCAAGCGCAAAGTGTTCCTCGAGGCTAATTATTGCTTACCGCGGCTACGCGGTCTACGTAACCTAAACCGCGAGCGTAGTGTGGATATTGTCATAATTCGTTGTAATTACCTTGTAACGTAACTGCTACGCCGATCGCTTTATCTTACTTAAAGTCATACCGCGTGAAATGGCCGACGATCCCCTAACCGCGCCGGTACGTTTGAATTTCAGCGCAGCTGGTATTCGAGTTTTTTAATGACCACGTTCGGCGAGTGCAGCAGCAGCAGCAGCAACAGCTCACGATGCGTAGCTTTTTAATACACGAAGGCGCGCGAGACCCGCGGCTTCGTCGTCTGTTCGCAAGAGTCTCCGCATTGCACATACGCGCAATTACACGGCACGAAATTGCGCAAGTTTCCACGCGAGTGGTAAGAACGACACATCTCTTGCAACTAGCATGCACGTATCATCGATCGTACATACACCATCGTGGCGAACAGTCAACTGTTTTCGAAATCAGGGATCGAAGATGCATCTTTCCGCGTTGGAGAAATAATTTACCACGGAAGTTCGTACATGTATATATCGGGACGACGAGTTCCGAGAGCGACGTTTATTTAAGATCGAAGTCGGCCGTTGCATTTTATCGGGCCGCATTTCGAGAAGGGAATATAACGATCCCTTCGGCGACGTGCGCACACGTTCGCTCGGGGCTTTGCATTATTTATGGGTATTATCTTAGCACGGAAGTCGCCGAGAGGATCGGTAGCTCTCGGATCGTTTAGTATCCGGTGTGAGTGAGTCAGTGCGCCGCGCGACAAAGTCGAGAGGCGCGGCCGGGGCGATAATTAAAACGCTTTTACAAAACTGTAGGCAAACAGCGCTTAAGTGGCTGTCATTCGTTACCCCGTGGGCTGTGGCAAGTCGGTAAGTCGCTGAGCGAGCAATCAATCACCCGACATTCCCTTCCCCACCGACCCATTACATTTCTATTTTGAAAGCTGCTTATTAAGCGGGGCCGGCCGGAGAGACAGACAGGTTTCACGGTATAAAATATCGGGTTGCCGTGGTGGCAGGGACGGTTCCGTGTCGTGGTAGCTATGGCAGGCAAACCAGGGGAA